ATCCCCTCTTCCTCCATGGCGCTCCCCTGTCAAATGGCATGGCATTTGAATCTGGTCATTTTACAGTGCTTCAGTGGTCTCCCTTTTAATATAGAGGAAATATTCTACTCTACTTTGACCCATAAGGATGGTTTTCCTTGTGGCCCTCACCTCGGCCATACATGTTTCTGAACTAGTGGGCCTGTCTTGTTATGAATCCTTCCTGGTTCTGTATAAGAGAGGTTGTGTACTCAAAACTACCTCGGCCTGCCTTCCTTTCAATCCTCCTTGAGGATCATATAAGTATGCTTTCTTTGCGCCCCTAGATAAAAAACAAGTTATGCCTTGCACTGCGGAGGTAGCCCCACTACTTGCTAGTGCCCTGTGAGGATGGATGTCTTCTTCAGCTCTCCTTTTTTATTTTTTCCCCTGTTAAACCTTTTACTTTTTTTTTTTTTCCTTTGCTTTCTTTCCATTGTTACTCAAGTTTGTCTCAGATTGCAGCTATTCCGCTTAGTGGTCCGCCTAGAGTACTGTATCCAGATTCTGCACTACTGGGCACCTTTTTGTGCCTAATAGAGGGTGCGCAGCCAGAAGTGACACCATAAAAACATGATGCAAATGGTCAGCACACCAAAAATGAGATATTTTTTTTTTTGGTGTTGAGGCCTAGGCATTGCTGTAGATTTCTTTCTTTCTTGTAGATATGTTTCTATCTTTCACCTCAACCAAGACATTGTTGTTCCAGTCTTCTCCCTATAACCAAGACATTGTTCTTCCATTCCTCTCCCTATAACCAAGACATTGTTCTTCTGTTCCTTTGTCTCAAATTCATCAAAAGGAAAATCTTCCTAAATTGTTTGGATTTGGTTCGAGCAATGCCATCTCTCAGCCATTGCTTCTTTCAGAAAGACTAATTCCTATGCGTTGTGCACTTTCCTCCATCTCTAGGGGGCTCAGACCATCAATCAAGCTTATGGTCTCAAGGATCAGGTTCCACTCTAATGTCAAGGTGCACTCAACTAAATCTGTGATTTTTGTTTTGTGGCTTTTTTGGTATTAAGCAACAGTTACCCAGATTTGCAAGGCTGCTACCTGGCCTTTTGGTTCACACATTCTCTAAGTTCTACTAAGTGGACGTTTCGGCTTCCTCTGATGCCAGCTTTGGGCGCAATGTCCTTCAGGCGACTCTTTAAGCTGCTGGTAGTCCCCAGTTCTCTGCTTTCTTCTGCCAGATAATGTTTGTTTGCGGTGTTACCTACCCCTCAGTTGGTCTGCTTTTGGGCATCCCAAAGACCAAAGTATTTGTGTCCATTAAGGGATGAGAAAGAATTAAAGATTTCTTTAAAATTCTTTTCCTGGAGTATATTGAGGGACACAGGTCCCACTCCTCCTGTCTTTATGATCATCCGCTCTGTAGTGTTTTGCTTCAAAACTGAGGCATGCAAATAGTAGTAAGGATTACCTGGCTTAGCCTGCAGTTTTTTTGCTTACCAGTGTTCATTCCTCCTGTGGGTGGCAGTATAAACTAATGCAACAAACCTTAATGGAGTCTGAGGAAAGAATTTTACGATGAGCAACTCCTGAGTTTCTAAATTTGTCTTGAATGCATCGTTAAGCAAGTGCAGAAGGATTTACTTAAAAAGTACATATATCAAGATGCATAATTGTAATAAGTGGAAAAAATGCCGAACTTTTCTTTTTTTTTTTTTGTATGCAAACTGCAGCACCATTAAGAACTCTAGTAGCCAGTGTGGGATTGCCTTTTTTTCATAGGATTAGTTGCACAATGCATTCACTGACCGCAGAGCAGGGCTGCCATCGCTGAACATCGAGCACTGAACGACACCACATCAAGTGCTTCCTCTGCTTGGCCATGTAATATTGCATATTTAAATGTTTTTCTCATTAAAGGATTTCATTTTACAAGTGAATTACATAGACCACTTATTTTTCAGGAAAATAAAGGTCTGGGACCTGCAAGCTGCCTTGGATCCCCGGGCTCCAGCAAGTACCTTATGTTTGCGTACTTTAGTGGTATGTATCACTATGAATGTGTTTTTTAACTTGTACATATCTATGGTCAATAAACATTCTGGGCCCACCCTACACCTATGCATTTTTTACCCCATGTTTATCAGTGTCAATTTGTAATGCATTAAAATGGGCATTGCTATGCATTTAAAGCACTTTACAGTGCTAATTGTATTGCATGTCATTGTGTTAAAACAAATAATTTACCTTATTTGTTTTCATTATTTAAATGGAATTGCATCAGGAAAAAACACAAGTCTGAAAGGGCCCTTACTGAAAACCCTACTCAAGGTGGTTTTGCAAGGATGTTGATTCTGTTATCTGACATACAGGTTACCATTTAACCGTGTAAAATTATAATCATGAAACTATGGCTCAGCATGTAAAAACGTAACGTTTTACACGATTGCTCAAAATGAGAACCTAAGTAAATAGGGAAATCTCACTTATTTCTGCTGAAAGTATCAGAGCAAAATAGAAAATACATTGCCAGTGACAAAGTTGCAGGGTATATCGATGCTTAGTTGCTGGTTTTAGCAGTATGCCAGTTAAAGTTCAGATTCAGAGAGATGGCGGTATCTCTGAGATGGTCATACAGAGTGGAAAATAATTATTTGATCCCCTGCAGATTTTGTAAATTTGCCCACTTACAAAGAAATTAAAGGTCTATTATTTTTATCATAGGTGTATTTTAAATGATAGAGACAGGATACCAGCCAAAAATCCAGAAAAAACACATAATACAAATGTTATAAATCGAGTTGCAGTTCAGTGAGTAAAAAGTATTTGATCCCCAAGCAAAACATGACTTGGTACTGGTGGAGAAACCCTTGTTGGCAGGCACAGAGGTAAGATGTTTCTTGTAGTTGGTTACCAGATTTGCACACATCTCAGAAGGGATTTTGGTCCACTCTTTACAGATCTTCTCTAAATCCTTAAGGTTTCTTGGCTGTCGCTTGGCAACTTGAAGTTTCAGCTCCTTTCTTACATTTTCTATAGGATTAAGGTCTGGAGACTTCATGATCTTAATGTGCTTCTTCTTGAGCCACTGATTTGGTGCCTCAGCGGTATGTTTTGGGTCATTGTCATGCTGAAAGACCCATCCATGACCCATCTTCAGTGTTCTGGCTGAGGGAAGGAAGTTCTCATCCAAGATGTTACAGATTTTACAATACATGGCCGTGCCCGTCAATACGACAGTCAGCCTGTAGCTTTAGCAGAGAAGCAGCCCCAAAACAAACATAATGTTTCCACCTCCGTGCTTGACTGTAGGGATGGTGTTCTTAGGGTCATAGTCGGCATTTTTCTTGCTCCAATCAGAGCAAGTCGAGTTAATGCCAAAGAGCTCAATTTTGGTCTCATCTGACTGCAGCACTTTCTCCCAATCCTTCTCTGAATCATTTAATGTTCATTGGCAAGCTTCAGACGGACCTGTACATGTGCCTTCTTGAGGAGGGGGACCTTGCAGGCACTGCAGGATATCAATCCATGGTGGTGTATTGTGTTACTAATGGTTTGTTTGGTGACTGTGGTCCCAACTGCCTTGAGATCATTCACAATATCCTCCCGTGTAGTTCTGGTCTGATCTATCACTTTTCTCATGATCATCCTTACCCCATGATGCGAAATCTTGCATGGAGCTCCAGACCAAGGGCAATTGATGGTTATTTTGTATTCCTTCCATTTGCCAATAATCGCTCGAATAGTTGGTTTCCTTCTCACCTTGCTGATAGTCTTGTAACCCATTCCAGCCTTGTGCAATCTTGTCCCTAACGTCCTTTGACAGCTCTTTGATCTTGCCCATGGTGGTGAGGTTTGAATGGAAGAAAGATTCTGGGGACAGGCGTCTTTTGTTATCGTTAAGAGCACCTTCTTAATTTGACAGGACTAATCTGTGTACCACATAGCCAGTCTGTGGGAGCCAGAATTATTGCTGGTTGGTAGGAGATCAAATACTTATTTTACTCACTGAACTGCAACTCAGTTTCTAACATTTGTATCATGTGTTTTTTCTGGATTTTTGGTTGATATTCTGTCTCTATCATTTAAAATACACCTATGATAAAAATGATAGACCTTTCATTTCTTTGTAAGTTTTACAAAATCTGCAGGGGGTCAAATAACTTTTTTCCTCACTGTATCTGCCATGCTGAGGACTTATAAGCCCTCTTCTCACCCGGTGTACCAATACACCTGGAAAGCCTTTTAAATGATGTGAAGCTCTCGGGTTCCATTCACGTATAGTGTTTGGGTTTCCCTCGCTGTGTTCCGTGTGAAAGACTTTGCTGAACGAGATAAGAAAAAAAAGTTCTGGTGGTTAGTCGTCCTCTTCCCAAGGCATATGGCATACTCATAGGTGCACAAAGTAGTTTCTAGTCTGTAAACTAGGTACGATCGCTACCCCTCCCCCTTGCAAAAATTCAGTTTCCTGATGAGTAACATTTTGATCCTAAACACACTTCACCTCCAGAGATACCAGTTTTTTAAATCTGCTGAAATTAGTTCTCAGTCACATTGTATTGATTTTGGGAATCAGCTGACAGTTATTGTTTCAGTTCCTTTTATTTTTTATTAATATTTCTTACATTTAGATTTTTCTTTGTCTGCCTTTTTTGTGCACATTGCAAGTTACTATGGGCAGTTTGAAAGTAAAGGGACAGGCTAAGCTTCCTCTCATTATCATAGAATGCTTCTATGTCTTAAAAGTGTATTTCCACTTTTGCAGTCAAAATTGAGAAAACCTCTTTGTACAAATACCTTTTGTATGTGTTACTATTCACACAGACTACCTACACAAAAATATTTCCTACCTTTTTTAGATGTCTCCATTTAGTAGCTCTTTGCAAGCTTCTCTCTCAATTTCCATAAAAGGGAACTGCCTGTCCTTATAGAAAGACTCCGGACAGGCTGAGCTCTCCCTCATTAATATACAATGTCTCCAGGGCTTTAATCCATTAAGACAGACAGTCCTGCTCATCTTGTTTACAGGTGCTGATGAAACCAGTCATGGTTAATTTGAAACCAAACTCCCCCAAACACCCTGAAGACCTTGAGAGCTAAGTAGGATTTTACAGTCTTGCTGTTAGCACAAAGAACATAAGTCTAAACTGCATTTTTTAAAGTGATCGGGAACATGTAACAAATATAAAATAGGCGTTATCGGAGTTTGGCTGCAAAAGTGGGTATATCTCTTGTTAGGACATGTTAAAATCTAGTTTACAACCGATAATGAAATCTGCCAGCACAGTACGTACAGGGTTAGTTAGATTAAACAAATCTTCCCTATAATATTATACAGGAGGAAGTTGGGAAGGATTTTTAAGCAAGTAAAAGCACTTAAAAATGTATGCAGTGATTTTTTGAAATATTTGTTTTAAGTTTTATGCATATAAAAAGTAGGTATTGTCCTAGTTTGTCTCCAAAAAGGGGAAATGCACTCTAAACTGAGAGCAGTAAAGCACAACCATAGTCGTTTTTCTTAATGGTACATTATGGGACACAGGAAGTATTAAGGAACATTGGGTTATGCTGCTTCCTTCAGGGTACTGGACACTGGCAATGATGTAAGGACTGTCCACTATAACCCCTTGCATTCCCAGTATGCATCAGCTTTTAGCTAGTTCCCTTAGGAGAATCAGTCTTCTCTCTGCTGTGGGAGAAGCAAATTTCCTGTTTTTACTCGTTAGGTTTTTATCATGATATTTTATTATCTGCAAGATTCTTTAGTTGCTGCAGTCGGGTTCATTTTTTGCAGCTTTCAGATCGGCTAATTCTCTGCTTTGCTCTAAGGGGGATGTATCTGGACCCTGCCAGGACGAAGCGGGGCCACCCTGTAATGCTGCCCTCTGGGTTCTTGGCTGCATTAGGCTCTTACGAAAGCACGCAGTACAACCTGTTCATAGGGTTGTCTACAGATCCAGGGCCTTTGTACACTCACATGGTGGAACCCTGCCCCTGAAGACAGGGAATATGCTCTTAGGTGTTGCAAAGACCGCTGGACAGGGCTTGTCCCTAGCAGCCTTCCTGTCTGCTTGGTAACTGCAGGATTAGCACCCCAGCAGGGGTGCTGTTGATCAGGTCCCCTATAGGTTAAACTGTGGCGCAGGTGAGGATCATTGCCATTTTTAGATTTGGTGACATTGTCGTGCTTTCAGTCCAGGTGCCCATACTGAGTCTGTGCAGCCTTCTTAGAACAGGTGCGCAAGCCTGACTCTACCTCTTCCGCTGCCCCATCTCCCATACCACAATCCATAGTGATATATCCTGGTAACCTGCTGCCTCCAATGACAAGTCAGACTGTCTTAACCATTCTTACTCTACATTTCCTGTTCTGTGTACTCCTAGTGGGAATTCCTCAATGCCTTTCTATGGTGGATTATAGGTGTGAGGGGACGGCCCTGATGGCTGATAACAGCTCAGAGGGAGGCTGCAGGGTTTCACCTGGCTGGGAAGCGTTGCCCACGGCCTGCATCACTGCCCTCCTCGGGGGG